TAGGGGTGGGGCTTGGGGGGGTTGGGGGCGGGGCTGGGCATGCTGGGGGCGAGGCTGGGGAATGCCTCTCGGAACCAAAGGTACTGTTACAAAGGAGTCTCATTCTTTCTGCTTTACTTTCTGAAAATGAATATGACATGTGTAAGGGTCATTGAAGGTGAATAGAACCTCCTGGTGTCTTCTTTGTGTTTCCAAAAATGTATTTTTTATATTGTCTAATGAGGGACACAGGGGGATAATAATTCTGAGACATTTGGGTTATAATGTCTCCTTTTAAGACACGGGCAAACAAAAGGCAATAAGCCACCTCCCGTATAACCCCGTCTCCAACCACCAAGTATGAGTTTTTTCAGTAGTGTCCTAGCAGGTTTGGACGCACTCAGCACTGACTATATTTTTACTAGACATTTTATTAAATTGTTAATTCTAATTCTATTCTATACATTTTAATTGTTAATTCAATCTGTATATTGTGGATTATTTTCTCTTCAATTACTTCAATTAGGACTTTCAAATTGCTATTTTAGCCAATCTCTACACAACAGCTATCGGGTCCGTCTACCTGAAGTCGGTCTTCAGCTGTTTACTGGTTCATCTTTTTGTTTTGGCATGTTTTACACACGCCTTTAGTTGTTACCTGCTTTGGTATTTTTACTTCCTAGACTTTGGCCTTCTCCCTTTTTTTGTTGACTTTGTTGCTGTCCACTTTGTTGGTGAGAATTGCTCTCATGTTTACTGATAGTTCTACCTTTTCGTCTGATGTTGCATGTTTGGTTGTCCTCCAGATTGTCAGTTTGGGCTCATCATTCCATCAGGTAACAATTCTCTGTTTACTTGTCCTGTTGCTGAAACACCAGGTTGAACCTTGGTGTCCTTTTTCATTGGTCATTGCAATTCACATATTTGCCTTCACTCCCTTTTCAAGTAGGCTTCTTCGAGCATTGATAGCGGGATTATAACTAACTTCAAGTTTTTTTGTGTCCAAACCTCCTGAAGGTATCATTATTACCCAATTGTTTTTAAGAATTACTTTCCTCCTGTAAAATCTTCTGAACAAGGTATTACAGCAAGTACAAAAATCCTATTTTTCCACATACATGACTTGGTTAAATGTAGGTAAAATTTCCATCAGCTTGAATTTGAATATACAATAAATAGTATAGAAAAACTGTGGACCAAGGGAACAAACAGGTTTTTAGTTAAGGTTCTTGTAATAGAAGATGAATCTTGATAGTTTGATCTGGGCAAAGCTTCACTTTTGTTTCAGTTTCCATAAATCTATCCATATGTTACAATATTTGGAAGATTTTTGTGAATCAAGCTTTACTTTTTAAGCAATATCCTGCAGTTACTTTGTTGATCTGCTGTAGCTTTTTTCAAGTTTTCATTTGTAAGTTCAACTGTTGGAGAAAATATGATTTGCCATATGTCAATATTTTTATCTCATTACATCAGTACATTTGTCAGATAATAGGTGTTAAGAGTTTGCTAAGCTATTGTATTCATTGTAGGTTCTTCTGGTAGGATGCCTTGATTGTGCAGTCTTACTTAAGAATAAGGATTGGCCCCTGAATATTGCATCGCTAAGCACAATTATCCAATCAATATGATATTGATCTTTAATTTATACTTTCTTCTAACAGGAGAAATCACTACAACAACTCTTCTGGATCGTGAAGCAAAATCAGAGTATATCTTAATTATCCGTGCTATGGATGGTGGTGTCGGACCCAATCAGAAAACAGGCATAGCTACAGTAAGTCAATGCTTGATGACTGGATAATTGTTGATAAATTTGAAAACCATATATTTTACAACATCGTTGCCAGAAATGTAAACATGGACTAGCTTGAAATGATTCAGAGAATGAAATGGTTTAGGGTTTAGGTTGTGCATTACAAATATGTCAGCCTTTCTATATATATAAGTTTTGGCTTCACAAAAATAAAAAACCAATAGTGCCAGAGATGACCACTCCACTGAAGAGATATACATGCAGAAGTTCTACAGGTCGCTGCCCCACATCAGTCAGGGACATTGTTATATCTAAGGAAAAAACAAAAACAAGGGGCGCCTTCCCTAGTGTAGATACATTTTTATTAGACAAACGGCAAAAGTAGAATAATACTCACAAAAGAGTAGATGACAATGAGCCTTCAAAATCAAAGGTTGATCCTCATTTTAGCAAAGTTTTTGCTTCAGTTGCACTTTAAATGAGCAATCTGAAGTATGAATCTCTTGCCTACAGTGATGGGGAGTAAATATATAACTTCAAAGTATCTATTTCTAGACTTTGAAACATTTTAATGGTCCTGTTAATCTGTTTAATCTGATTGACACCCCCCACACACCCCCCACACACCCCACCTCACCAAAACAGCTCAACTTAAGTGGGGAATTCCATCTGCAAGAAAGTGTACGCTTTTCTACATTCAAAAAATATGCTTAAAAACAAAGCATTTCACCTACTTGAGTGAGCTCTTGAGTTCTTCATAAAGTGATGCTATCCACATAAAGATGTTGCGCACCAACAGCAATACTTGCCAAGGACTCATCAGCAGCTGACTGGTGTGTCAGCAACACACAATCTTAAAATCTCAAGACTACTTGGGCTGCTGCTTAAAAGACAGTTTTCTTTATTAGATGTCAACATTTTCATGAAACGTTCTGCCCAAACCTCAATAGGCCTTTTTTTGACAGTAGGAGACGATGAAAAAAGTAATTTACTTCTTGTCTTCTCACCAATCCTCTCTATGTGTTATACTGAACATTTTTATTATGACTTTCAATCTGCTCATCCAGGTGGAGTTCATTGGAGCAGTAGACTAAACAGGCCTGACCTTCCTTTGCCTTATCCTGGCTTACACTATTCTTGAGAGAGGGCAATGGCCTTAGACTAACTGGGGGGAATTTATCAAAACTGGAGCAGAGAAATTGTGCAGCAGTTGCCCATGGCAGCCAATCAGCATCTCTCTTCAGTTTGTTCAGGTAGGATTTGAAAATTAGACAGAGAAGCTGATTGGTTGTGGTGCAAATCTGCTCCATATTTTGTCTGCTCCAGTTTTGATAAATTCCCCCAACTGTGTTTAGAGTCAGAAAGGAACATTATGTGGGTTTTCTAAAACACAGCTCAACTGGTTCATTTAAGCTGAAAGAAGCTGCCATGGTACTTTGAGGCTATCACACATATCAGAGCAACTTGACAGAAATATTTGATGTCCAACCCTTGTATCCAGTAACAGTCCTTTTACTAATAGTTTAGCTTGAGTCTCTGCTTGAATGTGGCCTGTGGAAGTTAATGCCAGTAAGCCTAGCAGATTTGCAAGAAAACTGGGGCACCAAAAGAAAACAAACAAATAATGCTGAGTTGAGCTAAATCTGAATTTTCAGCAGATCAGCCTTAACCACAGCAACTCAGCGGGATGGATAACCCAGCCAATAGAACTGGTAATGGGTCATTTGGACCCCAAAACTTTTTTTTTTTACCACTTTACTATTTCACTTGATATCGGCAATCCACATCTGATAATCTCACTCAAAGTGGATTGCAGGTTCAAAATCACTTACTAGCAGAGTAAATTTTACTAGCAATCAGTGGTAGAATATCTTATGTTTGACTCATTGCTCTATGTAGAACACTTGGAAAAACTCAGTGTGAATATTAACCTAAAGGATGTTGGCCACAAAACTTCAGCAAAACTAAGAAGTGTTTATCCTAATTTTTATGATGACCTGAAATGTCTGCTCAAAGTCTTTTTTTGCAACTTTTAGACCTTTACACCCAAATAATTGGCAGGTACTTTATAGCATTTTCAAAAAAAATACATAGCACAGTTATAGTTAAGGTAATAGTATTGAATATGTTGGTGTTGAGGATTACAGCAGGTTCCTGCTAGTAGCGCAATGCTATCAACCAGTCTTTCGTTTGCAGGCTACCATCGCTGCTGCAGATTGTTGCATACATCTGCCTGGAGTTCCTTTGTGTGAGAGGTGTTGATTTTTCAATGTAATGTTCTTTAATAAATATTAATTGAGATGTGTTAACACAAACATGCCTACATAGATAACAGGAGCTTGGTACAGGGCTCATCAAAATAATATTCAATTAGCAGCTTTCTAGTCTAAAGTCATTTTAATTACCACGTGTAATTTCTGTAAGGCTTAGCTGTTTTAACGGAGCAAACAGTTCATTACATTGCTGAGCTAGTAGAACTGCCACAGAAAGAGGAAAGGGATTAGGAAAAAGTGATTGTGAATGCAGCTAATGATTGCTAAATGTTTCACAGTTTTTTTGCAGTCCTATACAGTCAATGCAGGGGCATTACTATAAATAATAGGGCTCCAAAGAGCATTTATTACAGGCTTCCTGGAGCTCCAAATCCATTCTTAAACACTATTCTACTACATTACTAAAGTTGTACTAGTCTTAGGCCTTGTTCACACCTAGCGTTTTGTAGCACTTTTTCTACCCTAAAAATGCTCAAAAGCATGCCCAACCCTCCCCTTCCCCTATCCTCCTCCCTACCCCTCCCCCCCTTCCAAATCCGCTCCTCCCATCCGACTCTTCTGGTACATCCTAAACACTCTAACTGGTAGTCAATCTTATTCTTACTACACACACAATCTAGGGCAGGTGTCTCAAACCTCCGGCCCTCCAGCTGTGGTGGAACTACAAATCCCATGAGGCATTGCAAGATTCTCACAGCCATAGACATGACTCCCGAAGAGAGATGCATCATGGGATTTGTAGTTTCACCACAGCTGGAGGGCCGGAGGTTTGAGACCCCTGATCTAGGGTTATACTATCTCCTATTGTCTCCAACCTCTTGTTTCACATCCTATAGCAATTTTGTGTCGGCACTGTTCAACACAATAACCGGATGTTAGGATGTTATTAATCTAGACAATGGATGTTTTATAAGTTCTATAAGCTTTACATATCTTACTTGTTTATTAACTATTCCTAGACTCAAAGACATCTCTACATGGAAGGCCGGCTGGCAACAGGAATGTATTTACCTGTATATGATTCGTCTATCCCTTTAATGGTTATGTATTCTGTAAAACTCAATAAAGATATACATACTTAAAAAAAAAGCATGCCCAATACTAAATCCTATTAATTTCTACGGGCATGTTTATATCAATATAACTTTTTAATGTTTTTTTCAGTGAAGGACATTTTCAAATATGTGGTGTGTTAACTTACATTCCTGCTTCTTTTTGTAAATATGTAGGGGGTGGCTTGATGTCTGCAGGACCCCTTATTTGAAATGAGGCTCCTAGATTCTGATAAGCCCCCAGCCTGCTGACCCCCACATTCTCTTGGGGACTGGATGTGGGAAAGCCCTTTTGCTCATCAACATAGGAACAAGGTCTCTCTTAGCTCCATAAAATGCAATAACATTGCTGCATTTAGCTATAGCCTCTGCCCCGGTAAGGGTCTGTTTATATCTTGCTCTAGGTTTGATTGTTGTTACCAGCTTCCGCATGTTTGGTTACAGAAAAAGCTGTATCCTATCCATATTTTTATGTGAAATGTCTATCAAAGTGGTGCTGTCATGAAAGACCAACAGAGAAATCTAGAATTACACAAACTGGGAATTTCTTTGTTTTGGAATCTTGTGGACTAGAATCACTGAGATCACTTCTTTCTTTTAATAAATTCTGTCACTTTTTGTTACGTTTGCTCTCTATAAAACACTAGAAAATTATAATTTGACCTGTAAAATGCTTTACTACCTGTCCCTTCTCAGTATCAGGACTTAGTCTAAATATTTCTTAACCCAGCAATCCTTGAATATAACAGGTAATGCTCAAGGCAATACAATGTAGACAAGCGACAAACATAATATGTAACTTAAGGTATAACACAATACTGTGGGAGTTGAGTGTGTTTAATAAAATGGCATAATTGAAAAAGTAATTTTGTGCATTTGATAAAAATGTTTTAATGCTTCTGTTTAAAATATCAGATTGCTGTATTATAGTAAATACTATACATGGAAAAACCTAATCTTTTTTATTTAGGTAAATATCACTTTGTTGGATATAAATGACAATGCTCCTCAATGGAAAGATGAACCTTACCTTATTAACCTGGTAGAAATGACGCCGCCAGATTCAGATGTCACTACGGTATAGTGGACTGTTTTTAATTGTCCATCTTGTTATGATAATATCCAATTTCTGGACTTTACTAGCTTTCTTACCTTATTTATTTAAAGTGACACTAAACTCAGGAGTTAAATCTTAAAAATGCATTAAGGTACCTGAGACTACAAACTTAATACAAATCAGTAAACTAAACATGAGATTGTAGTCCATTATGGGAGGGAGCTTGGAGTGGTGGCTACTTTATAACCCACACAGGTAACATGGAGAACAAAAGTAGCCATCATCCAGAAGGAAGGACAGTGTTGGCATAAATTCAGAGATTATTTGAGATTGTACAGCCGAGTGATACATAGACAAGCTAAATTTTTGTTAATAGTTAAGGTACTTGAATGCATTTTTAGGATTTAACTCCTGAGTTTAGTGCCACCTTAACTTAGTGGATCTCTCCTTTGCATCACTGTATATTTATTACATAACAGCATTGTGCAGCAACCTTACTTTTTTTAAGTGACCTTAAAATATCTTTTTTTTATTCTTTATTTTTCAAAGCAATACATTATACAACAATAAGAAAAATAGAAATAACAATTGTATCCATATCATAAAATCTACAAAATACCCACCTGTTTTGTGTGTACTTAACTTTCAAATGTTACATTCAATATTTCTTCCAACAATATGATACCACTAATACCATTTACAATTATTCTTGTCCCTCCTCCCCCCTTCCCAAAAAAAGGGCTCCACTAAAAAATATCTCACGTAGGTACCTTCATTCTCCACTGCACTTACGCTACATTTGACAAAAAGGCCCTGTATTCCCATGAACAGGTAAATCGCATCCAACTAGACCAGACAACGCCACATTTCTCTTCTCTTTGATATAATGATGATGTAATTTCCTCCATATCTCTAATCTCAGCGATTTTAGAGAACCACAGTGGATTGGATGGGGGAGCCTCCTGTCTCCAGAGCGTTGGTATACAAATTCTTGCTGTGTTCACTAAATGTATTAATAAAGAATGCTTATATTTCTTCCTAGAAATAGGGTAGGCATGTAAAAGGTAAGTCTCCGGATTTCCCCCCAAATCTTCTCCAGTTAGTTTAAAAATGTGACCCTTAACTTGATCCCAAAAAGGATGTATTTTTGAGCATGACCAGAATATATGTAAAATAGTTCCCTCTTTATATTAAGCATGCCTAAACATACCTTTTCCATTACATAACTTCTCAAAAGAGGTAAGCCTTGTTGTGGTAATAAATCTTCTGTTAAGGGTTTGTAGAAAGCTAAATAATTGAAGTATCTGCCATCTAAGTAAAAAGGGGGAAGAAACCGCTGAGAGCTCTGCCATCGACGGTAAGCCATATTGGATCACAAACTCATGGAATCTAACTTTCCCCGGGTCTCTCATCACTAGAAATTGCTTTTCCAATATTCCTGGGGGGAAAAGCAGGATTGCCCAATACAGAGTCATAAGACAAGTGTCACTTTTTGGAGTTGTTATAAGAGATGATGATCGCACTGTTTTTAGTGTGGGGCCTAATAGTGGATGATTCCAAAATGGTTTAAGATATAGCTTTGGCAACCAAGCTAAACCATGCAAATAAATATCTGTTGACTCTTGTTCTAATGAGACTGAATGTTTAAAGGTAGAGTGTCTACACCTGTCTAATGGTCTGGTGAGATGGACGGCTTTATAATATTTAAATGGGTCTGGGAAGCCAATGCCCCCAAAAGTCTTTGAACATAAGAGAAAACTATGCTTCAACCTAGGCTTTTTATCTGCCCATACAAATATAATAAATGCTGTTTGAAGTTGTCGTAGGAATATAGATGGAATTGCAAGTAGTAATGTCTGGAAGAGGTATAATGAATGAGGGAGGATCATCATTAGACATGTGCGATTCGTTCCGAATCGAAATTCGGACAAATGTTCGGAAATTCGGACATTCGGATGTATCCGAACTCCGAATTACAGACATAACGAATGCAAACAAATCCGAATTTCCATTTCTGAAATTCGGTAGCGTTAGTACAAACGTTCGTTTCTTATTCGTTTCTTATTCGTTTCGTTCGTTGGAGCAAAGTGACATTAGAGAAGGAGAAAAATATTTTTTCCCCCTCAAATGTCACTTTTGCTGCAAACGAACGAACAAAACGAATAAGAAACAAATAAGAACAGAAAACGAAACGAACGTTCGTACTAACGCTACCGAATTTCGTCCGAATCCGAATTCCGAATCCGAATTGACTTTCACACCCGAATCCTGAAAAATGAAATAACACAAATCCGAATTTAAAACGAAACTAAACAAATTTTTTGGCAGTGCACATGTCTAATCATCATCTTAAGAATAGCATTTCTGCCGAATCAGGTATACAAATCGTTAGTCCATCTATGAAGGTCAGACTTAATAGAATACATTAAAGGGGGAAGATTTGTTTTAAATATATCCTCCAACTTAGACATAATTGTTTTGTTCCCAAATATGTGATAGCTTTTGTAGCCCATTTAAACTGAAAGTTAGAACATAGTGCTCAAGACTGGTTACATGGAGGTTAACATTAAGTATTTCCAAGTTTTCAGAATTAACTTTAAAATATATTTTTGGAATGATCTAATTTTAAAGTACAAATGTGTTTATGGAAACAACCTTGATTTTGCGGGTCTTTCCTGGGTTTAGTGACCAGAAGTAATCCTTTATTCAAAATGGACATGTCTTTCTTGGCAAGATCTAGGTGTAGCTGTGGTTTATTGCCATAAGTAAAATGCAGGGTACATTATGAACATCCTACTGGCTTGTGATCAGGGAATGCCATATTCTGTTTACACTGCAGCAAACAGAAAATGGGAATGTAGATACACAGAAAGTACCAACGAAACACTTGCCTTTAACTACTAACTACACTATATATTGTACCATAGTTGTTTATCTCCCCAGCTTTTCCCTGTTTGCATTTCCTGTTGAAATTGAACTTTACTAATTTTAAATTCCTGGAAGAAACCAGTTGGAATCCAGCCTTTTGAGGAGTGTGTTCTGTGTTTATAACAAATGCATTATCTCAGTAATCAACAATAAAAGGAAATTGACTGTTTTTATTTTACACACCAACTTATAATTACTGATCCTACTAGGGATGTTCAACAAAAAAAGTCTAATTATCAGTGGCCTGCTCCATAGATGACTTTCACAACGTACTGTCATTTTGGAGTATTCTATAACAATCATCATTATGGCCTTTGCAAAATCCTCAGCAATCAGCTCTGGTTTTAGTACTGCAGCCCTCTTTCTTACCCAGTATTTTCTTTTTCAGTTACAGACAATGGTTATAAAACCATGCGGGCTGAAGGAAAAAAATATAACAAATTCCTCCATCCATGCTAAACAGTGTTAATCACCCACTCTGTCCTTTGTATTATGACAGCGGTGGGTGTGCCGCTGTTAGAATACGTGCATAGTGAAGGCAGCTGATTGGCTGCCATCACTGTTCGAGCAAAGATTTCCCATCCATCTCCTTCGATTTCGTGATTAAAGGATGCTGGATAGAAGGGTGCCTACAGGACCACCCACTGTGTGAATCTCATCCGGTTCACCAAGAACCAGCAGAAATGTTTACAGTGTATGCCAGCTTTACTTTGAAACCCAGGATAAAGCCTACTTTTTATATATTATATGTTCCCATTCAGATTGCATAACTTAATTGTTGTTTTTAAGTGCTTTTTACTCGCTGAAAAAGTAAAATTGAACACTCTGACCTAACAAAGAGTTAAAGACTTACAAGCATTGCATGTTAATGAGAGGAAATTCAGTCTGCCCCCAGTTTGTTACCCCCGTTTATTTTTTATTAAATATATATATTGTGTGGGTGTGTTTTTTTTTTTTGCTATGCTATGTGGGAATGGGAACACATAACAAATGGGAACAAATACACATATATAGTGGGAGTTTTCTTAAATTTGACTGCAAAAATTGTGATTTTCTGCACCTGATCAATGCTATTATCAGCAAGGGCTCATAGAAAACAACTGTTTTCTTTGTTCCTTGTTCACACCACAATGCTACCTTGAGGTGGATTACAGTGACAGGTGCCAGGTGTATATGCCTGTATAGACTATGCATAACCAAAAGGATTATGTTTGCAACATAGAACCAATTGCATGGTCTCTCTGGCTGTTGTTCTCCTGCAAAACTTAGTTTGTGCTTTTAACTAAAGAAATCATAGGTAGCAGTTGAAAGATGTACTTTGTAGATTCGTACATTTCTCTGGCTGTTCCCTATTTTACATAATTTGTCCCTTAATGTGAAGGCTTGTTACCTTAAAACCATCTACACATAAACAAAATTAACACAAATATGATTTCACTTGTTGAGTTGTAATGTACTTACAAGGGTAAGATAAAACATTTCACAAATGAGAAAATGTGTTTTATTTTACTTTGCTTTTTGCGAAAATCTAATACTGTCTTTCAAGGACCTCGCAGAGAAAGAATTGATTTACCACCCTTCAGTGAGTAATGGAAAGTAACACAGAATAATTCTCATTCCCTTCAAAAGATGACAAATGACATAAAATGGAAGACAGTGCATATGATCATGTCTAATGTCTAGTAAAATCTGTCTATTACAGACCAGAAAAGGCTACTAATAAATTGCATTCTAGGTCCTAAAGGAATAATATTCATGGTTAGATATACCTGTCTGGTGCTTAAATGTAATTAGGTAGTAAAACTTATCCTGTTAGCCCTCCATATACCCACTATCCTAGCTGCTATTCAACCTGACACCTACGAAGGACATACATACATGCTGTTAGTGAACTTTTACAAGGTTGTAGCTATAGCCATAGTAGATTGTGTGAGTGCTGTGGGGCCCAGCAGTTTGTGGATCTATACATTCTGATCTGTTTAGTGATACCTGGAGGTAGAATCAGCATTTGGTAAGTGATTTAGGTAAAACTAAATGTAAATACAATGTATTTATCTCAATGTATCTATTGTTTTTGAATAGCACAATAAAAC